AGAGAGAGAGAGAGAGAGAGAGAGAGAGAGAGAGAGAGAGAGAAACACACTTTTTAGTTTTTCAATTTAGATTAAATGGCCTGTATGCCAAGGTCATGAATGCTGGAGTGTACCTAATATGGCCTCATTTTCTGGGAGCTGGGAATGCAGAATTGAAAAGGAACATTTCTAGCACTGACAGCAGAGACGGTCATCAGACAACTGCATGGCAGGAGGTGGCATGTGGTATAGGTAAACAGAGGTGTATGGATATTAGATAGGAAGAACCCCTCTCTCCCTGGGTTGGGGGCAATGCAGAAAGACACCATGGGGAGAAGGGGAGGAGGAAGTGAACTATAAGTCTCATAGTCATGTTGTGCCATGTTGTCCCAACAGTCCCATGCATCAGGCAGAATATCATTTTACAGAGGAGCAAACAAAGGTGGAGAAAGTTGAGGTGGTCAGCTGGGTGTGGTGGTTCACACCTTTAATCCTAGCACATAGAGGCCAAGGCAAGCGGGTTTTTATGAGTTTGAGACTTGCCTGGTTTACACAGTGAGTTCCAGGCCAGCCAGGGCCATTTAGAGAGACCAAGATGAGGTGGCCTGCCTACCTCAGTGAATGGGGGCAAGTCCTGCAATCACTTTGTCTGGCTCTAAAGCCTGTGTTACTTCACTCCATCAGCACATTTCAAATGACAGTTTAGGGAGCTCTGGAAGTGGGACATGGGGGAGTCAGAGAATGCTTCATGGTAGGGCTTGAGCCCCTGCCCTCTTTTGTCCCCCGGCAGCTCACTTGGCATCTATTTTCACTGTCTGGGTGGGGCTCCACTCAGAGAGGCAGTGAGAACCATGGCTACACAGGTACCTCCTTGGCTCTGAGAAGCAACTTGCATTCAAAGCCAGTTCTCATCTGCCCTGCTTGGAGGCCTTGGATTCAGCATCCAAATTCTTAAACCCTAGCTTCTTCAACTCCAAAATGGGTGTAACATTGGTACCCACTTCACAGGGCTGCTGAAAGGATCACTTTTTCAAAGATATGCAAAGAACCTGGTGCAGTGCCCAGCACTTAGTACAATGGTACTCTTATTGAAAACAACTCGGCTCATCATACAAGGTAAAACAAGAAGAAGAAGAAGCAAATACTTTTGTGCTATGTTTGTTTTGGTAGCTCTGGAAATTAAACCCAGAGTCTCAGGCATGCTAGGCAAGTACTCTACAGCTGAGTCACAACTCCAGCCCAAGAATATTGTTATGGACTGAATGCATCTGTCTCCATCTCTGCAAAGTCCTACACTGAAATCCTGAAATCTGCACATCTAAAACGATGGTGTTAGGAGGTGGAGCCCTTCTAATAGAGACCCCAGGGAGCCCTCTTTCTGTCACATGAGAATACAGTAAGAAGCTGGCTGTCTGCAATCTAGAAGACAACTCTTACCATGCTGGCCTCAGACTGCAGCCAACCCAAACAGGAGAAATCAGTTTCTGTTGTTCAAAAGCAACCCAGCCTATGATACTTGTAGCAGCCTGAGCTGACTAGGACAATCATGAAATTATAGGAGGAATTCTTAAGGGAGCCGGAAAAAAACAAACCAAACCAACTCCCCTGAAGAGTTGCCATGGTTCTGAGTGGCACCTTGCATGCTCTCTGGGCCCTCATAAATAAGGGTTTTGTATTATTGGAACACACCTGGAAGATGAACAACACTTCTAGGCCGTCATTGCTGAGTTGTGGTTATGTCCCCGTGGCTGTTGGTCAGCTGGCTCAACAAGCTCAGTGGAGACTGACCTTCAAGTGATGAGGTCAGAACCCCAAAGGCCCAAACCAATTTTTTGTCTCTGCTCTGAGCATGTGGCCACCATGCACTGGTTTTCCTCCTAGGTTGAGCCTGGCCCCAGCACTGAAAGCCTGAGGGTTCAGGGAGGCCTGTATCAGCCATACCAAGCCCCGGTGGCTGGTGGCTTCTTTGCTGGCAAGAGACACCCTGGCCCTGAGGAAGATTCTGCAGGGTAGTGGGCTCCCCATCCCTTTCTGGATCCTTCCATCAAAGACTGCTGGCAAGCTAAATTCCCAGTAAAGGTTTTGATAGTGTACAACTAAACTACAGTCTCACCAGGGCCAGGACTTTGGCTTGGCTCACTGTAGTAACCCAGTGACACAGCCCTGTGAATGACTGAGGATGAGCACTTGAGATGAGCTGAAGTCTTCATTCACCACACACAGAGATATCACACAGCCCTTCACCAAGTGACAGCTGGGTGGGACCTTCTTGCCACTTTTGATGGTCTACCTGTTGCCTACCACCGCTGGGCCTCTGACAGTTTCCCCTGAGAAAGGTGTGACCTTTTTTCTCTTCCAGGCAAAAAAAGGGCCATTTGCTACAGTGCACTGAGCAAGAAGGTCAACTCATGCTGAGTGCATGCTTGCTGCATTTATGCTCACGCTGCCAGAAATGAACATGTTAGCATGGATGTACAGGCAGAAGTCACCTCCTCACGGAAGAGACAAAGAAACCAATCAGCACAAGGTCAGAGAGCTGTTTCTCATTAGTGCTCTTTGTACAGTACTTTATAGAGCCCTTTCTCTTCCTATGAAGTCTTGGATTAACAAAGGTATTCCCTGAGCTTGGATTCTCTGCCTACACATTATAAACATAAAGTACACCTATAGTTGATACACAGTTTTTATATATCTACATATAGATATAGATATCATATATACATATAGACTGTCCACAGATAATATTTATAACACATAGCTGTTCTACTGTCCCAAATACACTTTACTTTGTCATACTTTTTCTGTTTTATAACTACTTACTACAGCATGGTGATACTAAAAGGGGTAGGGGAAAGTCAGAATACACTGTGACATGTGTAATTTACAAAAGTATTCAACATTGTAGTTGCTTTTTTTCCCCAAGTATAATGTTGAATATGCTTTGGAACAACAGCAAGGTGGGGCATTCAGAATTTTTGTTCACTGTAAGGGATTATGGCTTAAATAAGACTGGAAGATACTATCCTGGACTCACAGCTTTGGAAATTACCTGGTCCAAGTCCCCAGTGATGATAAGGAAACTTCTACCCAGAGAGATTAAATGACTTCTTGTCTAAGGTCAGAGAGCTATTTACTTGTCCCTGAGGGGAGCAGCTTTTTTCTCTTAAATCCGCCTATCCTGAGTGAGTACACGGAATAAAGAATTTCTCACACCTGGGTTGTCAAGAAAGCAAGCTCCCAAACATACCTGGCTTTTTAAAATAAGTGGGAATTCTTGAAAGGATAAGTGGAACCTGCCTGAGATTTTTACCTACATCCATTCCCTGGGGGCCGCATCCAATGACACACACAGGGTTGCTTTTGGTTCCAACCTTCTTTTGTGCAAATCTGGGGAGCTTCTTTCACAACCTTCTTTCAGGGGGAGGAAATGCCAGGTTGGAGTGCTTCCTCATGTCCCCACTCTCCCCAGTTCTTGGCTACCTGCTGAGGCCACGGCCCAAGTGGGCCAATGTTTTGGCCTTAGTCCCATCTACCAAGACAAGCTGCAGGTTTTCTCTTACACACTGATAGGAGCGAGCATTTCAGTGGGACTGTGTTCCTAAACCTGTTCCTCTATGTGCAGAGGCAGCAGCCCCAGGCCAGTATACCCACAGCCTTGGGCTAAGACAGACACAAGGCCACCCTGCTGGAAGCCCAGAGGCAGGGATGACTGTCCCCGTAGCAGTGGCTGCCCGTGCATCCACAGGGTGTAGGAGTCCACTTACCGCAGTGTGACTGGAAAACCTGTGGCTTGACGACCTGATTACAGGCACTGCACACTACGAGATAGAAGTCATCATGTGCTGGATAATGGCCAAATAAGTGCATATCTGTGGGGGAAATGAAAACAGGGTTTTTTGAAAAAGCAATTAAGTCTCAGAAGGTATAGTTTCCTCTTCGGATTTCTTCAAGGACAGTTTTTCACAGGAGACACATTAAGAGGTCAATCATCTTTACAAAAGGGAAGGCAGTTTGTCAACACATAGCTATTCAACTCTCAGAGAAGCAATGGGCTGCAGGAACCCCTCCTCCTTTTACCCCTGGAAGCTGACTGTGACACCCATTTACTGATTTGGTCAGCAGTGTTGCGGCTCCTTGAGTCACAGGCTAGGGGAACAACCCTGACTCTGGTTAGAGACAGAACCACAGCATAGACTTTACTTCAGGTCTCCCCGTCACCTATTGTTTCTGCAATGGTTCCCCAGGTGACCAGAGGGGAGAACAGGGTTGGGTGGAAGAAGTCAGCCTCACCTGAGGGACATGCTAAGGGCAAAGGGATGTTTTGAACAAGCAGCTTGTTTGCCGCCATCATTATTTGTTTTTGTTACTGTTCATTTGGTAAACAATTATTGGATGCCTGAGTATGCCAGGCACTGTGGTAGATGCCAGGGAACACTGGGGAATATGAATGAGGTCGCTGGTGTCCTGCAGCTTATGGTGGCAGAAGGAGGGACGTGAAACAGACAACCATACTGCTAGTCATTGGAGGTATGGTGACAACAGATGCAGGAGTAAGATGAATGGAGTCCCACAAGTGCTTAGCAGGTAGGCCTAGCCTATTCTGTGCTGCCTGAGGTGAGGAGGAGTATGGGTCAGCTGAGGTCTCAGCATGAAGGGTTAGAGAAACTCTCCTAGTAGATGGGGGTGGCTCAAAGTTTAAGCTAAGAAAGGAGGTTTTGTGCCTTGGAGGAGCCTCTTTTTCTCTTGGTTGGAACAGAACATGGAAGATCAGTTGGGTGGCAAGGGGGGTGGGGGAGAGGCAGGCAGGGGCCCAGAGCTATAGTTGTGTAGATCAAGGTGAGAACTTTGAACTTGATTTTAAGAACCCTGAGAAGCAGAGAAGTAAAGCCATCAGACTACTGCTGTGAAAAGGTCAGTGATGGGCCTACAGCTGAGACGGAACGCCTGGGGCTACAGAAGATTCATACATGAATGCTCACAGCAGCATTCTTCATAAGAGCCAGCAAAGAAACCCAAATGCCCATTACATGATGAACCAACAAACAGAATACAGAATACTGAATACAAACAGCAACGAAGTATAGGCACAGGCTACAACATGGATGGGCCCAGGAAACACCACATCAAAGGAAAAGAACCACAAACAAAAGGTCTATTTCCAGTTATGCAAAATGTCCAGAATAGGTAAATCTACAGACAAAACGTAGTTGAGTGCTTGCCTTGGGCTTGGGGGGTGGTTCATTAGAAGGTGAAGTGTTTATTGGGGGGCAGTGGAAATGCTCTAGGATTGCTAGTGGTGATATCTGCAATACACTGAAAGCACTGACTTGTATACTTTAACTGGGAGAACAGTATGGCATTTGCATTATATATCAGTAAATCTGCCCCACAAATATAGGACAGTTCTGAGGAAACCTGTAGTTACATTTCCTCATGTACCACTATGTGGTGAGCTTGGAAGACACTGCCACCTCCTTTATGACTGACTCCAGGTGAGTCATTGAGTTATGAGAACAGAGCAGCCATAGCCCCACAGGGTCGATGGATCAATGGCATTATATGTATGAAGGTGCCTCTCCTTTACACCTTCCCACCTCCAGCCCTCATTACACAGACTCTGCCTGTATATTTAATAAGAACCCCCAAAATGATAGCTCCCCTAAACTACAACCCCAGGTCAGAACGATAAGTTGAGCATCTTGAGCTGTAGGGAACAAACAACCCAAAGGATGAACACCCAAAGAATTCCTTAGCGCTCTGCATGCCATTACCAAAGAGCCCTGCTGCTTCTAAGGCCATGGAGGTATCACAGTTAGCACATGCTGAGGAGCAGAGAGAGACCCTCACTTTCAATGGAGGAAGCCAGTGACTGGTGGGGGACTCCCACAGCAGGGACCAGGGATGCAAGCCCAAGTGAATCTCTAACTTGTGGGTCCCACCAGGGTGGGTGTCATCTGTTATCTACCCTGCTGGGGACTGGCCTCTGCCACTTCCACTCTAAGAGATCTCACACACCTCCGCCTTCAGAGGGGAGAATTATTAGTCAGCATCCAGGGGGGAGGAATCATGGAAGGAAAGGCTGGAAGAGTGGGAGTCTGCAGTGGGCCCACCCAAGAGATGCAGGTCTGGGCCCGAGTTATAGAACTCCTGTTGTCAGGTGGGATCCTCAGTTCAGAGCCTCATACAGGGATGCATCACATCCTGGGAGTTAGCTGCTAATATCACTCTTGCTTCACTTTTATTTGCAGGTTTTTATTTTTATAGCACATATTTTTTAATAATAAAAGGATCCATGCCCTTTGAAGATACATTTGAAAAATACAGAAAGGCCAGAAGAAATGTGTGTGTGTGTGTGTGTTGTGTGGGTGCACATGCATCTGCATGTATGTGGAGGCCAGAGGTCAACCTTGGTATCATTTCTCAGGTACAATCCACTTATTTTAAGTCTCTCACTGGCCTGGAACCTGCCATGTATGCTAGGCTGGCTACTCAGCAAGCCCCAGGGATTTGCCTGCTTCCACCTTCCCAATGTTAGGATTACAAACACCATCTACCATGCCTGGCTTTTTACGTAGGTTCTGGGGATTGAGCTCAGGTCCTCATGCTCGTGTGGTAAGAACTTTACTGAGTATTTCTCCAACCCCAAGGAAATATTTTTTAAATTATTGGCAACTTTTATTAACACTTTGAATCTCTTTTAAAGACACGGTTCCTACCCAGGAACATGTTTTTAAGGGCCAAAACTTTTTATTCAATGAGAACTGATGAGTGGCCTTGTAACCCTTCTGCAATAGGCCAAGTTATGAAGGAATAAAAGAATTTCACTAATTAAAAATATTAACCCTCCCCTCCAGATCAAGGATGGTCAAAAATATCTTGAGCATCTATTCTTGAACTAGAAATTGTGCCATGTGCTGAGAGGCTGAGAACAGAAGATGTAAGGTGTGGGGAATGTGTCTCTGTGAATTTGTTGTCACATCTCATGATCACAAATTGATGCCCCATTGTTTAATATCCTCAGGGATCTACTGAACACACATCTATCTCTTCACTTCCATGGACCACACACACACACACACACACACACACACACACACACACACACCCCTACTACCTGCTGGGTCACTGCTGAAAACAATGGTTACGGTAGTCCTAGACTATGGCCTCCTGAGTGTGTATTCCCCTCAGGCCTTTCAATGACTGGACTTTTCTTGGATTCTCTCTAGGACCCTGTCAACCTTGTACTATTCTGTTCGAAGCATGTCTCCTGTGGGGAGTGAGGGGACCTGCCTGTCTGTTTGCTTATGCTTCATCAAACTGACCTTAAGGTCTCCTCTACAAGCTGCTCAGGGTCTGAAATGCAGGATGCCTGGTAGATGCAGAGTAAGGTAAGGGTTCTTGGATCCCAGAAAACCCACACCTCACATTGCTAGTTGTCAAGGTCAGTGTGCTGTTTGATCAGACTAATAAAGGCCAATGATGAAGAATGGGAGACAGAGAGAGAGAGAGAGAGTAGAAAACTAACATGCCAGGCACAAGATTTCTGTCTCTCTCTGTCTTTCTCTCTGTCTCTCTCTGTCTCTCTGTCTCTCTCTCTGTCTCTCTGTCTCTCTCTCTCTGTGTGTTTATACCTAAGTAAAGCATTCGGTGCACAGTTAAAAACAATGCTGACATGGTCTTGCACCAGTGCGTAAGAGCCAAGCATACATGTCTCTTCCAAGTTCCATGTTCAGGGTTGTCACCAAGATAGCTTGAAATCAGGCCTGGGGGAATATTCATACCATGGAAATGAGCAAATGGTATGATGATCCAGGCCTTTGCTTTCAGAGCGCTTGTGGTGCAACACTGAATATGGATGGCAAAAGTGAAGGGTGAAATTCTCTACAATGTCACAACCTAGTGGTCACTACCATGGACATGATGTGAGAACATTATCTCAGTTACTCTTTGTGGTTAACCTGTGAATTCAACACCTCTGCTTCCCAAGCAAGGAATGAAAGTAAAAATTAGAGATCTCAAGGCAGTGATTTATTTAGAGTAGGGTGAGATTACAGGCCACTGACTCCAAAGCCAGTGTTCTTTGCTTAGCAAAATGCTGCTTCTTTAGTAACAGAGCAAGAACCTGTTTTTTCAGATGAAGAAGTCAACTTGGAAGGTGCTATAGTATGAATATGGTTTGTCCTTTCTAAGTTCCACATTGAAATTCCATTGCTTTTGTGGCACTGTTGGGGGAGGGGTGGGATCTTCAATAGGTAATTAGGTCATTAAGAGTGAAGAATGCCTTTCTCAGGGGAGTAAGATCCTTCTAGCAAAAGTAAGTTATTAGAAAGTGAGCCTGCCCTTTATGCTGTCCCTCCTCCATGCACAACTCCTTGCTCTTCTGCATTTCCACCATGTTACATGCAGTGCAGGGCCCTCACCAGATGCAGCTGCCTGACTGTGACTTCCAATCTTTAAAACTGTGAGCCAAAATAAATTTCCTTTTATAGATTATCTGGTTTCCGGTATCCTGTTACAGCAATGGAAATGGACTAAAACAGAAGGAATGCCTGAATAACAGGCCACGTGAAGGCTCCTAAGACTGAGTGGGTAGTGTATACAGAGTGGATATTCTGGATGTGAGGATGATTCACATCCTGGGTGGGACAGCATTTTTCATGATACTACTCAGAGTGGTGTACTGTTTAAAACTTATGAATTACTTATTTCTGGAATTTTCCATTTAATATTTTTGGACAGTGGTTGACCACAGGTACATGAAACAATGGAAAACAAAACACTGGATAGGAGGGGACTACCATATTTATACCCCAGATATCAGCATCCACTATATGCCATACTCATCAGCTTTCCCTAGATAGCTGATTGC